AGCGTACATGTACAGTGTCTCTTAACAGTACTCAATCACACCCCCTGCTGGTGTCGCTTGGTAATTACAACAATAGTTGCTGCTATCGGTGCTGGAATAACAATCAACATCAAACACTGCTTCAGCTGACTGTGAACATTCATACCATTAACCAAGACTTCAAATAAACAACCTTCTTGTATCATGAACGACACTGAAAAGAGACATTAAAAATAATCACGAGTGCAAGAGTAAGAGTAAGTTAAGTGTTGTTAAGTCAATAATGAATTAACTTGAGTGTGACATTTAACTATGCTAAAAGTTTTGCTTTCAATACTGTTTTGTGAGAAACATGTATCTCTTAGGTCTGCTTTTAGACTTCAGGAATATTCCCATTGAGAGACAAAAAAATATTTTACAAGAAAGTCCGGGCAAAGACGGAGAGAGGGGGGGGAAGTTTCACTCAAACAAGCACATTGTGGACTAATAAAGTTGTTTTCTATTCCACTGTGAGGCTGAATATAAGAGCAACAGTGACTTTGGCTTAAATAAATAACTGTTCATCCCCGGCAGTGTTCTAAAAGCATGCTTTGAATACTGAACTGCTCACCATGTACATCTGAAGACACACTAATAATGCTTTACCTGAAAAGATCAGTGGATCAAGAGTTTAAAAAAAAAATCATCCCCCTGGTGACCACAGCGAAAAAATCAAGTAAAATAATATAATAAAAGATTTTGTTATGGGGATTCCACTTTAATTATCGTTCAAATAAAAGACAGAACATAAAATAAAATATAAGATAGTGTAGAAGTTTGTTTTTTGGATGATAATAATAGGAGTTGTGCAGACAGTCAAACATACCAATGGTTTCTGATCCTACAGATCATTATGTTAAGAGTTAGAAAAATGGAAGTTCTTTTATTGAAATACAAATATGTCCTCTTAATGTTTTTAGTTTAAGAAATGACTTGTTAGATGAGATACGTTAAGATATACTTCATCGTTCCCAAAGGGATATTTGTCTTGGAGAATATGACGAGGTGCTTCCTTGGGCAACTCCCTGACCATATGAGTAGAGTCTGACTGTAGAGAAGGGGCATTTTGACGCGGGTGTGTGCAGGGATTTGATCAGTATGAGTGCATTGTGCCGTGGCCATGAGAGTGTATAGTTCATGTGCTTGTAGAGGGAAGAGAAGTTTGCAGCAAGGTGAGTGATACAGTGTGATGGTTATTATGTGTAGTATTAAGGTTACAGCTAAACTAATGTACGGGAGAATCCAGATAGTCTGTCTTGTTTTTCTACTAATGAAGTAAATAATTCATCAGTAGTTTTTTTTTTTGTTTTTTTTAAATAATAATGACTTCAATTTTAGTTAAAATTGAAATTATAAAAAAAAATAGATTATTTTGTGTGTTTTTTTTTGTAGGTATCTGTGCCTTTTATGGGTCGTTTTAACATAGATTTATGCAGAAAAAAGAATGGATAACATCAGGAGTACTTCGTCTAATTTCTGTATGTTCCTTTTTTCTTCTCGATTATTGATAAAAAACAAAAAACGGTCACAGACAAACACTCCTGCTGCCATGACAGTTTGCAGAAGACTCCAGCAACTTCTTGGACCTTTATCCATGTTCCTCATCATCTTGTCCTTTTATCAATGGGACATGTTCCAAGAAAAGAGAGGTACAATTGAATTAGTTTGTGTGTGTGTGTGTGTGTGTGTGTGTGTGTGTGTGTGTGTGTGTATCCTGGTTCTTCCTAGGGAAGGATGTGGTTTATTTAAATAACGTGTTGTTTGTTTTTTACGCTTCATTGCCTGTAAATTGGTTTGGGTTTAATTTTTAAGGATTAGGAGAGAGTGAATCTGCGGCCACACCTCTGATTACTCTGCAATTTAATACAATAAAGAATATCCTAAGCTGACTCTAAGCAGGGCCGCGCTAAACGTTAGACAGATGTAACACATGCTAATCCTATTCTTCTTACGTCAGCAGAGAGGACGTATCAGATGCAGGAGCTGAGGAAGCAACTGCCAAGAGAAATGTGTGACGGCGACAAAGCAGCATTTTCTGAAGGAAAGCACAGTTTTTGAAGACTTAAGGGATGCAGAACTACAGCAGCTGGTGGTGGATGACAATCACGGCATCATCTACTGTTACATCCCGAAGGTGATGCTGACATGAACACACAAAAGACAGTGAGTGGCGTTCACCACATGGGGCACACAGTACGGCCTTTGTAAAGATCAAGAAGATTCAACTTTCCCCTTTTTTTGTCCCATATTCCTTCTGACTTGGTGGGATTTTAATTTTATCCCATCATTTATGTTTTTTTTTGCTGCTTCATCTTAAATCTTGGACACAGTATAGAGTTTGTGAGATTGTTCATGGACACCAATTTCTCCATTTTTATAAGATAAATATCTTTTCTGCCTGCAACACATGAGGTGACTTTTACATGATAAACTTGCTTGATCAGTCAAACAAGCAAACACAGGCCTCTGTCCTCACACTGTATCAGATTTTGTTGACATTGTGAAACAGTTGCGGGGGAGGGGGGGTTTCATGCTGATGCTCAAGGGCGACATCTACTGGATAAATAATTGCACATTCTTCCTTTTAGTCCTTTTAAGCAAATGTGAGCATGCTTAGATAAAATGTTCAACATGGTGCACATCATACCCGTTCAATAAAAGCGTTTTACTATATTGGAATCATGTCTTTTAGCTAAAAGCACCACAGCAGCATCACAGAGTCACTAAGTTAGCGTGGCTCATGTGGTTCTACTTACAGGTTGGCGAGAACAAGAGCGAGCCCTATCAAGACCCTTCGAGCACTTCTGGAGTCTTGGTCCACGAATCCAACACATTCACTCAACTAACCAGCTTCCCGAGAACAGAGATGAAGGTCAGTTCATACAGTGAAGACAGAACAACCAACAGACCTGGTTGTCTTCATCGATAGCTGAATCAAATAGTGACAGACAGGTTGATGCATTTTTTGTTTGTTGTTGACCTCAGGCCAAGCTGAAGCGTTACACCAAGTTCCTGTTTGTCAGGGACCCTTTTGTGCGCCTCATCTCGGCTTACCGTGACAAGTTTCAGGGGCATAATCAGTACTTCTATCACAGCTTCGCCCAGTACATCCTGCGTGTGTACGGCAGCAACTCCAACCCACCGCAAACTGTGGACGAGGCTGTTGCATCTGGTACGCGTCCATCATTTTACAACTTTATTCAGTACCTGCTGGACCCGGGGACAGAACGCTAGGCTGCGGTTTGTTGTTTCTAAAGAAATACCCTTTACATTTTGTTTATTGTTTTGATTCTCAGATAGGATTTTGTCGGCCATCAGGAGAGTCTTCAAGAGGATGCTAAGCAGTTACTGAGTAGCTGGAGGACGTCATCAAATTCCCTCCCTCCTATGAGAACATGACATCTGTGCAGGACTAGTTCAGAACAGTGCCCCTAGAGGACAGAAGAAAGCTGTACAAGCTCTATGAGGCCGATTTCAGGCTCTTCGGCTACAGCAAGCTGGATGATTGAGGAGTCAGGATGTGGGTTTTCATTCATGACTCCTCCCTATGCTTCCAGCCAGCAAAATAACATTTGACACACAATGAACCCGCCCAACTGCAAGGTGATGATTTTTCAAATGTCGTTGGCTAAAAGCATGACAAATGGTTTTGATGGTATGCTGCAGATTTGTTTGGCCAATCAGAACCAAAGCTGCACATTAACTTTGTGTGGCTTGTTCAATAAGGGAGTGAAACATTTGAATGTGCCTTAGGTATCAATAAAAAAAAAAGTCTCATTCTCAAATGTTATCCTCCCCCATTTTCATAATAAGAGCGGCAAAAAGGAGCTACACCTGTAGCAACACAAGCTGCAACAAACATTTTCACTATTAAAGAGAAAAAAGTAAGAAGTGTTTTAGCCTTAGCTCCTGCTTTTTAAAAAATCAGGATGTGGTTTATCATACGCGATAAACCACATAAGTTATCTTTCGTCTCCCAAATGGAGAAATTATAGATCACAAACACGTATCGAAATAGTGTCTTACTCTGTTTCCAGAGTGCCGGGGGGGCACTGGGGCTTCTTTCTCTTCCTCCTTCTTCTTCAGGGAGACAGTTATTTGGATTCTGTGGCTGAGAGTTAAAGAAAATGATTGATGGTTACTCTAGCTCTTGGCTGGATTTAAGTTCATTCTTAAAAACTATAAAGAAAATACTATAGGACTAAGAATCACAAGACATGGTAAAAAAAGAAAAAGAAAAAGTAGCCTATAAAAAAAAAAAAAAGAGGAGGATTTCTTTTTTTTTTAATACTTGAATCTCAAGGCTTGTTTAGAAAAGTGCAACATGGAGCCTTTAACTTCAAGCAGGATGACTCACATGTTCATTCATTTTTTCGTCATTTAACTTAGCCACACCCCCTCTACCACGTGTTCAGTCCCCCTGCTCTGGTGATCAGCTGATTGAGGGCATTTACTCTTTAAGTAATTAACCAACAGGATTCCGCCACAACCTCTCTCCACCAATCACCCTGCTGCTGTTCTCTCTCTTCTGCAGTCAGTTTGTCATTTCAGAGCGATCGCTGGGACTCTCCTCCCTTCCAGCTCTGCAGAGTTCAGATTCAGCCTCAGAAACCCGCTCCTAGATTTAGAAACCCGAGTTCTAGATTTAAGTAATGAGAGCCAGCAAACTGTGTGTATTCAGCGTCCCGTGGTCTTCGTCTCAAACAGAATAAAACCAGTGGACAGACATGAGAGAAAAAGCAAAGCGCAGAGATCACTGTAAGAAAAGGTTTTGTGGTATGTGCTCTCAATGTGCTCTCCCCAAAAAGGTCAAACTATACTTACCTACCTGGGGATTATTGGAGTCTCTTTTCTCACAGAATTTGGATCATTTCTGGTGTAAAAAAAAAAAAAAAAACACACCCACTCTCTCTCTCTCTCTCTTTTTCAACTTTTCTCACATCCAGAATTCGACGACAGGAATGGCAGAAGCAACGCAAAGGTTAACAACAGATTTTGGAGGCTTTATTACAAAACGACATGACAAAAAACAATACATCTTCATGTTAAAACCCCACACTCATAAAACACGCTGATGGTGGATTGTGTCCCCGGGCTATAGGTCCATTCTGTGAGACTGACGTGATTTTCCAGGTCCTTTTTGAAAACCGTCTGCCTCCCTGTTGGCATTGGCGGATTAAGGGCTGCAGTCATTTTCATACATCCTGCTGTGCGTCACAAGCTCTCCACACGTACATAGCTCTGACTCCAACCCTCTCATCCTTTTACCTGAGAAGCAGTCGCGGCAGGCGGGGGGGGGGGCAGCCCCACATTGTCACTGTAGCCCACCTGAGGGCTCTGCAGTGTCCTCCTGCCTCCTTATTAGTTCCAGCTTCAGTTTAGAAGTCTCACTGGTCAGTTTTTATAGTGCAGCAGTCCTTTGGTGCTCCAATCATTGTCTGGGAGATGAGTGGCGTGTCAAGGTAGGGAATATAAATAAAGACAGACACCTCAAGAGAATGAGAGAGCAACGACCGGGTGAAGGAGAATATCAATATGGCTTCTTCTTCTTCTTTTTTTGTTTTTTTTACATGTCATGACATGAAGACGCTTCATCTTTGATTCTTTGCACAGACAAATTGTGCGACATCACTCTCTGTCTTTGTTCCGCAGCCTTGTTCAGACTGCTCATATTTACATTTTTCTTTTATAATAATTACATGTTAACATTTATTAAAGTCGTGGCTCCTCCCGAGCGACTCACAACAATGAAACAGGCTTTCTGTCTTGCATTTCCTTCGGCACATCTCTCTCACATGCTTAAAGATAAAAGATATATTACTCCACATACATCTTGAGAGAGACCTCTCCGTGTCTCAGCTCCAGTGAAAAAGGCATTTGGCAGGAGCCATTCTTCATTCCTCCCAGCCGTATTCAGTCTTTTTGGGGATGCAAAATGGTGCGATCAGTAGTGCGTTTTTATCCCCCTTTTTCATATTGAACTTTCTTCACATTTGGCCAGTGGGGCTGGTGATTTGAACATAGGGAAGCTGGCCAACTCCTCCTCTAGTCCTCTTACTCCGTCGCCGACCCCGTCCCCCAGCCCCTCATCCACGTCGTCCCCCTCCCCTGAATCCCTCTCCACCCCTTTTGACCTCCTCCTCCCCCTCTCCCCTGTCCTTCCATCCAGCAGGTCTGCAGTCAATATTTCGGAGAACTTGAGCCCGCTGCTGCTCGTGTTACAGTTGGCGTACAGTGAATTCCCATGGCCGTTGCTGGAGTTGCTTTGGATCAGGGTGCCGCTGTAGCTGTTGCACTGGTGAGCGCCGTTGCCGTGGCTGCTGAGGAGCGTTGTGGTCGTGTTCGTGGTTGCCGTACCGTTGCGCTTCTCCGTCAACCTGAATCCCTCGGACATCAGGCTGTCGCTGCTCGGAGACTGCGGCGTGGCCGAGGAGCCCAGCAAGTCCCGCCCTTTCTCTGACGACAGGGAATTATCCGGCAGGTGGTTGCCCTGGCGACCAAAATTGCGGCGACGCATCACGAAGTACAGGAGAGCGACGCCGAACACTAAACCCCCGACGAAGAAAAGGATGTAGACGGCAAGGACGTGGCGGCCTCCTGCTGCTGCCACGGCTCCTCCAGCGTTGGGACCTTCTATTGTCAGCTGATAGGCTGCTCTGCGGCAGGGGGTGGGATCTCTGATACCTGGCCCCGCCTCCTGGAGTGGAGTGACATAACAGAGGAGTTGTTTAAAAAGTTTTTTATAACAGGGAAATGATCAAGACTGTAATTGTGTTGCTGCCACCACCTAAGAGCTTCTACTCGTTCTTCATACCTGACATGTGCAGATGTATCGTCCCAGGCTGTCTTCCGTCACAGTCACCTCCAGGTCCGAGTTGTGCTGCCTGGTATGTCTGTGGGGAGGATGCTCCCAGCTGCAGGGCCTGGGAGACAACTGGACACATGGCAACAGGAGGCGCAGACCAACAGACACTCGAAGCTCCCTGATGGACGGTGTGCAACGCCCTGCGGGAGACAAAAACAAAACGGTGAGATAACAGACGTTAAAGAGAATGAAGACATGCAAGTGAGACACACATTAAAGTGCATTCAAACAGGAACATCTTTACAGTTATTTAGAGAAACACCTACCTTCTTCTTTGTCACATTTTCTTAAGGCTTCATCCACTATATCACCAGGACCAGGGCTGGATAACACACAAAGCGCAGACACACATTTGAATCAAAGTTGAAGAAGGAACAGAGAACATCCCTTGTTGTCAGCTTTTTGAAGTTACTGATTACTCTTCAGTTTTGCTATTCATTGATTTGTTTTGCTATTTTTTCCTCAAACCTTAGTTTAGACGTTTTTACATCTGGTTTGGAGTGGTAAAATCTTATGATGGATGAAAGGGTAACTAGAGTATTTTCTACATTATCAAATGCTCTATATATTCAATTATTTAAATGTTCTAACTAACCTTAATGTGCTCAGTTGGAAGGAAAATAATAAAAACGAATTAACGCATATAATAGGCTTTGTAAATAAATGGTTTAAAAAATACTACTTATACCGCTGATGTCCACCTCATTTTCTTAAGCTAAGATTCCCTGGTTATTGTTCAGGAATTTGTATTTTTCTTAGAAATAACTTTATTGAATGTCATTCTTTCCACCACAGGGTCTTACTCACAACCTTTTACCAACCTTAGTAACAACATAACATATGACTAGTCCTTGTTCTATTCCTGTACTACTCACTCTGCTGTTGTACGCCTGCAGGCTTCCTCCACTGTGCTCCACACACAGCCCAGTCCTCTGGCTCTGGCACACACCTGACAGCTGGGATACAGAGCGCAGCCTTCAGCCTGGACACGAGCCAGTGACAGAGGGCTGCCCACCAGAGCCCGGCCCTGCAGACACAGGGACAGAAACACAGACAGATTTTGTACTGCAGACTAATAATATGTTTCCGTGTGATGTCCTGTATAAACATCCAAAGAGTCTACCTGGTGGAGTAGGATATTATTAACAGGCTCCTGTGATGTAAACAAAGCAATCTCCTGCAGTAAGGTGGTGTTCTGGCCCACTACTGCGACCCTGTGGAGCTCCCCACGGTCTGAAACACACACAGAGAAATACACTGAGTTATGACCACAAAAAAAAAAAACAGTCAGTCAGCTTGAGTGTATCTATTTACATGAATGTTCTCCCCTCCTCCCAGCCTTCTCTCCTAACCTGTTCCGAGGTGCAGCACTGCTCCTCTCCGCTCCTCTCCACTGCCCGTCTGAGTGACAGCCAGTTTGGTGTATGTGATTCCCTTGCGGACCAGAAGGGGCGCTGCGGTGACGCTGTTCTCCATCAGTGGGTGGTCTCTCACGAATGTCAGCACCTTGTCAGGGAGTTTAAGGGAGGACTCGTACCCCTCAGCCTTCAGAGCACTGTTCAAACACTAAAAAAAACAGGTGGGGAAAAGGGTGAGAAAAAGTCATAACACTCAGGCGGCTGTCATGTGATTGCAAAGTGAAGTACCTGGCCCGGCCGTGGCGTGGGGACGGGTTCAGGGTTGATCCAGTTCTCGCAGGTTTTCTTGAGCTCTTTAAAGGGACCGTCTATCACTTTGTTGATGTCAGACAGACTGAAAACACACACTGCGGATAATTCTTCACGCTCCCTGTGGAAAAAAAAGAAAAGAAAAAAAGAGGGTTTAACTCTCAGCCATTGTTAACTTTCTTTAACCTCTTTATTTTTTTGAAGATGGTCAATTTACAGGTACAGGGAATAGTTGGACATTTTTTGTGAAAATAAGCGTATTCCCTTCAAGACAAGGTAAGGTGAAAGGATGTATAACTCTCGCTTGGTTAGTCTGGCATAGGCATAACAACTGGTAAACAGACGGTGATGGCTAACTTGGCTTTATCTTGCAGTCACTGCGATGTTCTGACAAACACAGTGAAGATTCCAGAAAGTCACCGTGCCTGGCCATGAAAAAAAGGCGGTCACTCACGTAATACCTTAATACCACAACTGTACCATACTAGCTTTTTCCCCATTACATCTTGCACTGTGCTAAGCAAGGCTAACCGACTCCTGGCTGGAGATTTATTTTGCACCAGCATAGAAGTTGTATGGATTTTTCTCTCCTCAGCAAAAAAAAAAAAAAAAGCAAATGTGGATATTTCTCAAAATTTTAAACCTATCCTTCAGATCTCACTAGAAAACACAAAAAATCACATGTAATTACCATACATAACCTCCTTCCATTCCTTTAATTGACCATATTATAGCTATATCAATGGTTTGTACCCTATCAAAGATTTGTTTTGAATTTGGCTCCCTGCTTGTTCGTCCGCCTACCATTGGGAAGTGAAGAGTCCGTAGAAGTGTGTGCTGCTGGGGTCGCCTGGCGTGTGCTGTGTGGTGAAAACATCGGTCAGGATGTTGTAGCGCTGGCCGCTGGGTCTGTCCTCACACACCAGCTCAGCCTTGAGGAAGGTGGTCCAACGCCGCTGCAGGGTCTTCATCCCTCCCACGTCAGACTGAAGAGGAAAAGACGAGCCAAGAAGCAAAATTGATACGACAACTCGATCATTAAGTCAAGAAGAACCAATCCGTCAATCAAGACTTTAGGTTACCTTGCAGACTCGTGCCACTCTTGGCACTTTGACTTTGGTGTAGAGGTCGTACTCTTTGGCCACCTCAGTGAAGAAGAAGTAGATTTTGTCATCATCTCCTGATGGGTTGCTGTCTTGAGATTGCTCTATAAAGGATGAGCTCACGAACTCTGGGTCTAAGAAAGACAAACGCAAACACACATTTTGATTTTCTTGGAATTCTTCAATGTGATCAGTGTGAGTTCAAGTGAAGGGGATTTTTTTTGTCTGCGTACTTGTGCATTGTTGCGAGTGTGTGAGTGTGTGCCAGAGTGTAAGAGTGTCTCACCACTGAGCCAGTTGATGGAGCGTTCAGTTCGGATCCGCTCCTGCTCAGGGCCCGTTGCCCGGGAGATGTCAAACAGCGTTCCAAGGAAGTTACTGGTGGCTGCAGTGTATAGGGTACCACCTACCCAAAAGAGAGAGAGAGAGAGCTAGGTGAGTTTTGTAAGAATAGAAACACTAAAATAGAATAAAAGAACTCCGAACAGGCCTGATTTACAGCCTGAGCAACCAAACAACAAACATACAGTCACACATTCAGCTTCACTGTCCCACCTGCCATTACAGCTGTGTAGTGCTGACTGGGCTCAAAGGGACACTTGCCCTTCCCAGTCTCCATCTTCACCCCGCCGTCTTCTGTTCTTTCCAGGGTGAAAGAGGAGAGCTCCTGGAGGATGACAGGGGAAAAAGCAAGGTTAGAAGTTTTCTTCATGACTCTCTTATTGTTTTGAAAAACAATCAAGAACATTATTTTGTATAAGGCGCTTCACCATCGAGGCAGCTGTAGATTAGATAAAGGTGAGTGAGTATGGTTGTGTTTGCCCTTTGTGGAGTCTGAAGCTTTGTTGGAGCTTGTCATAGAGATTCAATTGCAGCTCCTAAAGCACATGCAGTAGGTGCAAACATACACTGATACACATGTATATGTTCAACTACTGCAGCAGCTGTGCGGCTACTCTTTCTCACATGCAGACACGGACAAACAGGTGGAGCGCCTTTAAACACAGACACACACTATCTAACTAACTAACCAGGAAGGCACACTGCGGGTCAAAGGCATAGGTGCCACACACGTAGACGCGTCCGTCACCCAGAAACTCCAGCAGGCGGATGTAATTGTAGCAGTCAACCTGCAGGGGGAGACAAACACTCAAACATTAAAGACAAGGCAGAAGAGTTTTAAGAAGCAGGTTTTAGTTAAGAAGCCAAATGAGAAATCACATTTTTTAAAAACATTTAAATACATTTTCATTGAAAAAAGATGCACTTCATACATGTGCACATATACAATGTCATATATATAAAACAATCAGTCCAGTTAAATGTATTTTTTATTAAAATAGATATTCATTTTGTAGGTGGGTTATAACCTATAGCTATGATCTTCATCTGCAATTAATGACTAATGCTTCAACTAGTTTATCACCTTGGTAGTCACAGATTTCATAAAGCAGATCTTGAGCTCAAATCATGCCAGGTTTTTCACAAAACAAAAAGTGGTGTTTTGCTTTATGAGAAAGTTTAGGGTGGATTATATCGTGGATTACTCTACGTACAGTAAGATGTGGTTAATGACTGTTGTGTCAACATTAAACACAAAGAGTCACATCTTTTTTTTTGAGCTGTAGGGATGAGACTCGCTGCTCCTCCTCCTCCTCCTCCTGAGTGTTTGGCACCTTGCATGCATGCGCTCTGCCAAGAGTGTGTGAAAGGGGTGAATGTGGCTTGTTTGGTGCAGGGTGCTTCAAGTTGAAAGTTGCTATATAAAACCATTTCCTGTCTCTCTGCAGCTGTCCTATCCAATAAAGGCAAAAAAGGCCCAAAAATACCTTTAAAGTTTTTTTTTTTATTTCACCACCACACACATCTGTGGATCACATTATGGATCTTGCCCAGCAGAAGTGTCACAAAAGTCAGGTGTCAGCAGACAGCCAATTTAAAGGCCCGCCTCAGTAAGTAACTGATGACTTGTCTGTCTTCTTCCTCTCTGTATGTTGGGTACAATCTGTGTATGCATTTGAGTGTTTATGCATGTGTTCAAATATTAGTTTTGCATCAATAACAACACCAAAAAGAAAAATCTTACTTGTGATAATACGCAGGGTGAAATTGAGCATTTTGAGAGCTTTAGAGAAGTAAGGATCACAATATAGCTTTAAAATGTTACTACATTATTTGAAGGCGATTTGCTGAGCTGTCTTTAGAACCCCTCATTGTGCTGCATTAATGAGATGCAGAAAACACACCGTTAATTAATTTAAGCTCCCCTCCCCTTTTTTTTTTTTTTTTTTAATCTCTCGCCTATTAACACACCAGCTGTCATGGAAAAACACTCTCATTGTCCATCCCTCAGTTAACATGGAAGCATGACGCAGACAATTCTACGGAAGGTTGTGCGTGTGTGTGTGTGTGTGTGTGTGTGTGTGTGCATGTGCGTGCTTTCCTGAATAAACTTCAGGTCTGAGTCACATTATCCCAACTCACCTGTGACTATCTGATCAGCCCCACCCGCTGACACACCATCAGCCCTCACCTTGTTAGAGCCCCATGTGGAGCAGTGGATTGGAACAATAGGAACAACTTGGTTTTTCAATCTCACCAACAGTTATCAGCTTTAGTCACAACCAGCCGTGAGGTGATTTAACAGCACTTCTCTGCTCTCCTGTGTGTTTGTGTGTGGTTGTGGGTGCTATCGAATTGTGTTTATTAGTTCAAAGCTTGTGTGTATAGGGTGTGCAGCAAAACCTTCTTCTTTACACTAAGCTCTACTTTACACCTTCACTATCCATCTATTCCTCGTCACTTTTTCTCGTTCCTTTCAAGAGTTTTTGCTTCTGATTTTGAACACAATGGAGCGATCAGTAAGAGCATGCTATTCTCCTTATTCTCCTCTCCTTACACTTATTCTCTCAAGAAAACAAAGAGAGTGAACATTGGACTAAAACTTGCTAGGTGGCCAGAAAAAACAACTCTATAAGGATGCTGTTTGCAAGCAGGTAAGAAATAACACATGTATAAGATTGATTTGTGTGTAAATGCCAAAAAAACCATACATGTAAGTATGAAAACTACATTATACCCAGAACTGGCAGGTTAACGAGCCCCTTCCTTTTATTAAGGATTTCAAAACAGTGACAGTTGATCTTAACGTGTTTTATGATGGGAAACATAACTGAAACTGTCACCGCCTCATGATTCATAACGTAAAGATTACCAAATCTATCACAACAACTCAGATTCCCCCTCTTAGTAAGATCCTGCTCGAAGCATTTCGTAACCCTGCAAACTCGCCCTGATTTGTTTCTTTGAGATTGTACATTTTTGCATCATTCACAGACACACACACACACACACACACACACACACACACACACACACACACACACACACACACACACACACACACACACACACACACACACACACACACACACACCATCTCTCTCAGTCAACTTCAAGTTTAGTCTATCTTAAATAATGATCTTTTCTTAACGGCCCTCGTCCTTCCGTACTCTCCTCTATCTATCATGTTTCATTCCCTATAACTGCTGATTCTTGATCCTTCTGATTTACATGTTTTTTTTTCCATAATTCATGTTTTATTTCGGACAGAAAGTAAATTTTTCTTTCATACCTTAACCAGCTATTCATCTCCAAATATCATCGTAGGGGATTGTCTACAAACTGCTGCACGACTCCTCTGTCACTGATCTTCCATTAGCTTAATTTATCGCTTCAGTTGACCTATTTTTTCTGGTCTACGGGCAATTTTCATGCATTTTTCTGAGCATTTCAAAGTCATTAAGAAGTTCCTTAATTACAGTCCCTTTAGTCCCGTTATTACAACAGTACTCGATGGGCAGTTCATTTACAGTTTGGTTGACGTCCTTTTGTAGCGGGAGCAGAATGACATACAAAGCTTGAGTGTACAGTACGCTCTATTTATCAGCTTCTAGTCTAGACGTTCAGATGAACATCTGTGACTTCAAATATTGCCTCACTTACTCCAAACTCTCTTTCTGTCTCTCTCTCTCTCTACACACAGAATTAGACGCACACCCACACACAAAGCCCTGGTGAAATCTTGGCATGAATCCTGGAACTTCCTGTCTGATACCTAACAGCACAAGGTTCTGGCAAAGTCACACACATGCACACACACGCTAACGCACACTTGCTCACACACAGACCGGAATGCACACAAAAGCAGGCAAATGCACTTTGACGCCAAAAGCATGAAATGAATCATGGGTCCATGAAGTCACACATTTCAAATTCCTGAGACCATTTCAGTTCGAGTCATCCTTAAAAGGACAATATCATGTCACTCATTTGAAAGCTTTGCATTGCATCAGTGTGTTTCTGGACCCCTATCAAAGCTTTTAAGTTGTAATTATAGAAAAGCATAGAAGGAATATTCAAATGATCAATAACTAAGTTAGATTCAGTAACTTGTGAGACTTGATACATTAGAATGGCTCTGCATAGTCAGGCCTTAAACAGTGAACTAAATCTAAAATCTAGGAAGTACTGAGAAAGAATAACAAGATTTCCAGTCCTTATAAGTAAGGATGTTTTCTGCAGAGAACATGGTTAAAACACAACTTCCAGAAGAAGAAACAGCTCTCACCTCAGTCTTCCCCTTTGCCACACAAGACCTCCTCTTCTCCTCGGGCACATCCCAAATAATCTGGAGCAAAAAAAAAAAAAAGAAATTCCAAAGCTTTAGTGAATCAAACACTAAAATTAATTGAGTTAGTAGCTACCAATAGAGTCCTAAACATCTCAAAGGAGAGGGAAGTAAGAACCTCACACATATTGTTTTGTTGCTATGAAAGAGAAGTGAGGTTAATCTCTGGTGATGATAGAAAACAGGTAGAAACAGACGGATGAGCTTTATACAAAAAGAAGAAACAAGCCAACTGGCAACTCCAAACCTGATCACTTAGTTTTGGCAGCCTGCTGCGCGCTCAGTTTGTTGATGACAAATGGCAGCTTATATGAAGACGTTATAAAATCTGCATTTTAAATAGTGCAATTTGAGAAATACTACATTTGTGTGTCTACCTTTCGGGGTTGTTGGTTCAGCTTGTATGTGTCCACAGCCAGTATGGCATCCCTGGCGCCCAGGAACAGCATGCCTGATGAATGGTCCAATAGGAAGGTGCTGAAGTTCGCCATACCTTCAAACTTCTCTGGACCAAGGATGGTGTCTGAGGAGTGAAAAGAGAAGAGAAGAAGACTGAGGACGTGTTTGTAACCAAGCGTCCAACAGTGAGCCTCACTCAGCGATACCTCAAGTCCACATCAGTTGTCATGATCAACTCTGGAAACGCACTTATAAAGAGGGTTGGATTTAAACTCTCAGGCTAAAAATAACATCACCACACGCAGAGGAGAGCAGTGACAAGGGGGGACGAGGTTCAGTCGTCTGAGCTGGACCTGTGCCCTCATTAGAGGCCTCATCATATCCCTGCATCCAGAGTCTTTCACCCCACATCTCCTCCTGAAGCCAGAGTCTCTCATGGATGAACTCCAGAGATGTGGAAGCAACTTGAGGTGCTTAAACTGACAATGGATCAAAAGATAAACACTAAGTTAAATGTGCCCCCTTTGCCTTTCAGCAGCCGTGGAGATGAACTTTTTTATTCAAGCGCTGTATTCCGAGCCGGAGGTTAAAAGTGATAAAGTTATGACAGATGGAGCGATGAGAAAAGAGAGACAGAAGAGTAACCTTTGTTTCACCCAGACCTATCACACTATCAGAGCTCCAGATTACTGCTTTTAATCCCTCTTAGTATCGTTATTTATCCCTCTTTTACACTGGCTTTCATTCTTTTCACAGTCAAATTCACACACACAAAAAAAAACACATAAGGTTCAGTTCTTCTTTTGACTATCTCAATTATTCTTCAGATTTTAAATGTTTTCATTTTTTTTTTGACAAGTGTAATTTCAGCTGTAAAGCTTAAAACGATAACATCAAAAGCTTTTGGCTCTTTATGGCTCTCTCAATCACTCCCATCTTATCTATCATTCTTTTGTTTTTCATCTGTGTGCCTGTGTGTGTGTACGAGCGTTTTTTAAGGTGTTGACCTTTGCGGACTTTCTCACTAGTCCAGGTAGTAGCAACGTTTAGAGAGAAAACAGGGACTCTCTTTTCCAATAAGGATGAAAGAGGTGTTTAGTTTCCGAGCTGTTCTACTATTCAAATCAAACAAACAGACTTCAAAACACAGGAGCTGACTGCGCCACAGGTGGACTCATGAGGGGACAGATGAAAGACAAATGCTAATGAACAGAGGCTAGTGCTAATTTAGACTCAAAGAACGAAGACTACAAGAGCAAAAGAGATATATTTTCATATTATGCATCCTGCAGTTTTCTGTGTATTTACACAACCAACAATAATGAATCAGGGTTTGGAACTGTGCACCGAGCAAGATCGCATCCACATCCACATCCACGGAAAACAGTACCAGTACGGTATGTTTGTGTTCTCACGGGTCAAATGAACCGGACTTTGGGGTCAAGCGTACTCGTATCCAGGCCAGGGTCCCGAGTGTGAAACCACACTGAAGAGAAAACAGGTCAGGAACATCCTTGGGTCAACATGACCCCATGCTGCGGCACAAGGAACTCAAAGTACCATGTCGGTATATGCTGATAGATAGCAGCCGGCGTTGACATGGTTTTCCACTTAGAGCCTGTCTGAGTTGTTCTGTGAAGTGAAAAAACAAAAAACACACTGACATCTGCCTGTAACTGAATCACAGACATTTTCTCTCTCTCCCCCGCCTTCATCCGGTTCCCTTATGCAGTCAGTCTGTCGGTTCCCTGTAACATTTCACATGAGTGTCATTTCTCATTCACTAAGGAGCCATCTGTTCAGCTAAAAGCCTCCAGGCAGTCACAATAGCACGCTGCACTCTGATTCGCTCGCAGAGGGGCCTCCACTTCCTGCAAATCAGCCAATGTGAGAAGGGTGTGTACGCAGTCTGTGAAAGCAGATGCGACAGAGCGAAGTGCACACACATACACACAATTGCCCAACTGTTCACCAAGTGCAATACTGATAAAATGTGTGTTGTTCAAATTACAGTCAGTATCTTCTTCTACTTTTACACCTCGGGCTCATAAACACTTCCCTCCTCATCAATCAATCTTCTTCTTTTCATACTTTTGTCCTTTTTGTCACCTCGCTTCATTTGTTCTGTGACAATGAATCCCTCCGTCAGCCTGCAGCCTCACAGCTTCTTCAAACTTTATGCTATATTCTGCTGCTCTAATACACACACACACACACACACACACACGCACACGCACACACGCACGCACACACACACACACACGCACACACGCACATGAACACACACGCACACACAGCAAAGTCTACATGAGGGTTAGTGACATAGGCCAAAGGCAAGGTCTCGAGAGCTGTCCTTGTTCATTGGTACCCCGCTGGATGTGTAGGACATGACGCCACACACACACACACACACACACACACACACACACACACACACACACACACACACACACACATACACACACACACAGATACGGACATACACACACGCACACACACACACACACACACACACACACACACACACACACACACACACACACACACAGATACGGACATACACACACACACACACACACACACACACACACACACACACACACACACACACACACACACACACACACAACACACACACACACACACACACACACACAGATATGGACATACACACATGCACACATTTCCACCACCTGCTGTGCAACCTAATGTAGAGAGATGATTCCTAGAGCTACACCATCTGGCTCCTGCAGCACGCTGTCATACGAAGCTCTAACCCTTAATATCAAGGCAATTATTAAAAAAAGGCATATAAAACATATAAATATATATATATATATATATATATATATATATATTATTACATACAATATAGTCTTTCTATTTCCCGACTGTGTTCTTCCTAAATCATATACAGTAAGAGTGTTTGTTAGACTCAAGCTTTGGATATATGATATTTGATTTGTCATTTACAAAAAGAGGAACATCTGCAGGTCAGGTAAATGTCTTCTCTTTGACAGCAGGAGTCTGTGATATGCATGTATGGAACAACCTGTATATACTATTTTAGAAATCCTAAAATGTGATTTTGAATAAAGCAATTTATTTTGATTGACTTAATTTGCTTATCTTGAAAGGGATCATTTGATGCATTGTAAGGCTGAGCCAAGAAACCAAGTGGTGGGTCAACAACAATGTGGTAAGAGACGCTGAGAAGATTCATCAGGCTGAAGTGATCTCTGAGTTCAGGTTTTCATTCTCTTCAGTCCCATTCATCACCACAGCCAACCTTATCCTATTACAGTGAGTCGTTTGATCAATAATGAATATAACAAATATTGATTAGTGCAGCTTTAAGTAAGAATCCGAAACCTGCTGGTCGATGTAGAAAAAAACAGGAATCCTAGACAGACAGTAATCCCTGAATATCCGCTACAATATGAGGACGTTCACATTAAAAATGATTCACATGATGAGTCTGAAAAACCTAGTGGCCATGCTGAAAAAAAAATCAACTCAGGGTATATTTAAAAAAAAAAAAAAAAAAAGGGACTGATGTGAGTATAAATGAATAAGTAGTCTTAAAATACAAAATCCTGTCCCATGCCATGAATCATTCATTCATAATACATTAAACATGACTGAGAGGCAGCCAGGGAGAGAGGCCAGCAGTGTCTGTGTGTGTGTGTGTGTTTTTGTGTGTGTTGGGGTGGGCGTGGGTGCATGTGTGTGTTGTTGGTGTGTGTCTGTGTGTGAGCCGTATCCATTAAGGGTTTAATAAACTGGCTGTGGCTCCAGGGGACCAACCCTGGCCGCTGGCTGCAGGGCACTGTGGGATTGCACCAAACCAGGAAGTGATAAATTATACACCTCCCTTCTGCATCTGTCAATCAAAACTGACGGCATGGAGAGAGGAGGCAGGGGCGAACACACACACACACTCTCAGTTAGACGGCTCAGCCTCTGCAGAAAAACACATTTAGAGCACTATCATCACCTCGGCTTGATGCCACTTTAGCCATCAAAAGCCAGAAGGAGCCTTTAACAGACTCCTATTAGAAAACCTTTAAGTAGGCTCCTGTGCTACATTATAATAATCAATATGCATTAATTGGTAGCAAACAGGAATATCCAAAACAGGAAAACCAAAATCAACAATCAGCTCTGAGGTCAGCCCTAAAAAAAACAGGGTCTAGTATGATTCTTGGTAAATTGTATTGGCATCCAGTTAGTGAATTCTGTCTGCATAGCTTATTCCGATATGATTTCCAGCAAGAGAGAGAAAAAAAAAAACATTACAATGAAAACGATTACTGTACTTAGGCTCGTGTGTGGGAAATGTTATTTTGAGTTCTTCTTATTTTTCCTTAAAAGGCTCATTGTCTTTGCTCTGATTGATGACAGACGTCAGCTATTCAGCCATATCCTGTCTCAAGAGCTGTTTCTAGAGAGTGGTGAAGTGCAAGCAGCGGGCCGAGCACTCATGTCAGAGGGCGTCTCAGAATGGCTGATTTGAAGAAAAAAGAAAAACACAAAAAATAAAGATGAACAGTTGAGCCTTCATCTGTTGTTCAGTCTTCATATCTTCACCCCAGAGGCTTTTGTTCTTTCCTAACCTTGATTTGGCAGAACATCACTCTGGTGTCATTTATTATAAAGCTGTGCATGTGTTTGACTGAGATCAAGAGAGATTTGAAGAAAAGAGAAAGACAAGAATCCCCTTGTCATGGTCACGGTCAATTCCAGCCCTCTTCTTTTTTTTTTTTTCATGGTCGATAAACGGGCCCCTAACAAAAGCCTCCAAACATCAAAGCTCTGTGCTCGTTAGATCTACAGAGACACTGGGACTCATTTAGCGCCTGTTAACTCACTCAATACAATGCAGCTGAATGCAGCAAAGGTTAAAGCATCACATCTGGGAAGCTGAACATTTTTATTTTGGTGGGGTGTGCAGCTGTGGTTGGGTTCATTATAACAACATGCAGCAGTGAGCAGTAATTACTGCAGACGGACCTGACGGTAGCCTCGATTGAGTCAGTGCTTCATCAGACTCTTCAACATTTGCTTTGAATAAAAATTTAATTGCGTTATCAAAAAGAGGAATCACGCTTCATAGTGAGCTGCTCTGAAGCATAAAAGAAATAAAAAAAACACAATACTTTATATAGCAGAGAGGTCAGTTTATTTTTTAACTATGTAGCGTAAC